TAAATATGGGTGTCTTTGGGCCACAGTATCTCCTTAACATCAGGTGGATTGTGCTCATTTGTCACCCTTATTCTTTATAAAAAAAGGACCAAGGCTATATTTACCGATTCATTGATATTTCGATAAAACTGGCGCCATTCTCAACGGATGTGTCCACCGAGATGTACACTTTCATACTGAACGGCAGGCATGTGTGTAGAGAGACAATTCTGATATTGTCCCGATCGCTGTTTATCCTACATTGCCCTGCGGCATGCAAGTGAGTAGCCGCCTTAAAACCGAGACAGACCAGACGATTTTTTTTAATTCTCTTTAGCAAAGTGTTGCCAACCAGCCAATTTCTTGAATCCGCTAAGGAACGACAGCTGCAAAGTAGCGCCACCAACAGGTTTAATATTATAACTTCTAAATAAGAGCGCTGTTTTAGAAGTTATAATATTAATAGTGATAGATAAGTATACCCTTTTTACCATTGGATGGTTATCATTGATTCGATGTTTTATGAAAATACATCGATACATCGAGTATATCAATAACTTTCTAAAACATCGGATCGATTCGATGTATCGTATTGTAAACATCGAGTGAATTCGATGCATCGATGTATATCGAATATCCCTAGGTATTGGTGTTCTGTAAGTGTAATCTTATTTGCATTTCGTGCACTTCATTTTCAAATTATTTTCCAGCCAGCGTACAATGTTTCAGTTTTTGTAAACTTTTCTAGATATAAATTAATAAAAAAATATTGAAAATGAGTTATGATAGAACCCTTCAACTTCATTCAACCCAATTTACACCATTGAAAAACAAACGTTCGAGGCATTTGTTACCTAGAGAAGACACATTTAATCTTTCGCCAATATTAAATGAAACATCTATTTTTAAAAATATAAATGACACAAGTTTAAGACAAATCTTAGATGAGTCTTCTATGATTGTGAACACAGGTAATGTTGGTGATGGCTTAAGCGAACCTTTCTTTGAAATAATACAGTCAAGTCGCCCAAGCGATGTCTTAGGTACTTTACAGAGGTTAGCCCAAGTTTGCTGCGATTCCTTAGAGTTAATTGAGCCTTGGAATAGATATAATGCGCAGAATTATTGGTTAGCCGAGGAGGCTAATACATGGAAACTTTTACATTGCTTGTATGCTGATTCAATAACTGAACACCCAGAATCTTTTGAAAGCATAATAACAGAGGTAACTTTGTCACAGCAGACACTGGTTGAAGCTCTTTTCCAGAGCGATTCTGAATTACGCCTCATGCAGTTGTTAGTAGATTGGTTGGAAGCCACTGCAGCTTATCAAGAAGAAGCTACAAAGACGTCCGCTCCAGTAATAGGTAACAACATCCATTGGGGTAATACACTTCATGAGTTACTCATTGGTACCAGTTTGTTTAACAAAGAGAAAAACAAAGCTATGATTACATGTATTGATCCTGATGCGCCACGGCGGCAGAAGAAATCTATACACACTGATGACCAGAAAGATGATAATGACTTGTGTAAGAGAATTTTTACTGAAGTCAGATGTGGCAAATTTAAAGAAGCAGTTTCTTTATGTATAAGTGCAGGGCAAGCATGGAGGGGCGCCGCACTTCAGGGTTGGATGCTGCTTCATTATTTACCGAGAGAAGATTGCAATTCTCCTGTAGAAATATCTGGAAATCCTTCACGAGATCTTTGGAAGTGGTGTGCATTGGGTATAGCAAATAATGTTACTGAAAATATGCATTATAGAGCTACAATAGGAATTCTTTGTGGTTATCTGTCAAGTGCTATTCCTGTTTGCCAAGGAAACTGGGAGGACTTGCTTTGGGCGCACTTGCGGGTTCAAATTGAAGCTAAAGTTGATAAATTTCTACATGAGCATCATGCTACAGCAGAAGCTAATACTACATCATCAGATATTCTAGAACTGCTACAAACAGAGTTGCAAGTGGAAGAAATTTCTTTGCAACAAATATTCAGTGCAGTAAAGGCACTAATGGATGGTAAAAGAGAATCTAACTATCAAACTTGTCAAAGACATCTCATGTTGGGCAATATTAGAGCAATAATGCAAGATTCTTTGAATTGGCTTGAAAGTGCCGAAGAAAAATTTATAAGATTTTTAGCTCATTTGATATTGGTGTTAAGATTAATGGGTAAAGATCCTCATCATGATATAGGAGATAAAGTTTTAGAAAAGTATGTTACTCAACTTATAGACACCTTGCTTGATGGATCAATTGAATGTCCAGAGCTAATAGCTTATTATACATCAACAGTGCCAGGGTCTACACAAGTAAAATTATATGCAAATTTCATGGAACGTATACACAAAAGTGACTGCAGAGAGGGTGTAGTTAAAGCTGGCATTACAGCAGGAATTGATGTTGCTGCATCTGCTAGAGTTGCCATTAAGAAAGCCATAGCTGCTATACAACAAGATTACGGCAACATTGAATCATCATTTACTCAGCCGACTATTGTTGAAAAAGACAAAACATTAATACAAAATGTCATACATTCACTAGAATGGCTTTCACTTGTAGATAACCAACTTACTGAAGCTTTGTGGTTGAGTAATTCAATAATAAGAACATTTATTTTCATTAGTAATACTGATGCTGCCTTGGGATGTGTTGCTAGTGTGGGTCAAATGTTTCCCAGCTTTGTAAACAAGGTTCCATCAGATTCCTCGGAATTAAGAGAGCATTTGTGTTTGAAAGCTTATCTGGAAGCTATTGACGGTTTTGCTACTTGGTACAGGCATTTTGTAAGTGGACAGCCTAAAGATGTGGACCCATTACCATCAGATGCATCTTTCTCGGATAAAGTTCATCATGAGCAAAGATGTGCTGTTGTGGAGCAACAGAAAGTACGTTGGAGGAATGCTGTTCTCCATCAATCTCGTCATGCCAAGAATTTGTTATACAATGTTTTGCTCTTCCCTGGAGGATGGCTTCATGATGAAAACGACAGCACTTCTTCCCAATATTTTACAGAAGAGGAGAAGCAAGAACGAGCCAAGCAACTGGAGACTCTTAGACGTCTTTGTATTCCAGAAATTGTTATTTTGATTTTAAAAATTTTACAGAGTAATGACGATATTGATAGTCACAAAGAAGCAGTCAAACTAAGTCATATAATTGCAGCTGAGAACAGATGTTTGTATAAAGTTTTCACTAAATCTAAACTCATGGAGGTATTAGATATGATCAAAGAATCAAGTTTAGTTTTATTAGAGAAAGGAAGAGATATGTTTGGTTATGAATTGGATGAATAATTTTGTCTGAATTTAATTTTAATAAATATTTGTATTGATTAGATTTGTGTTAACAATCTTTACCCTCATAATATTACCATCCTAGATAAATAAGAAATTCTTTTCAGTTTGGGTATTAGTACAAACAGAATACATAAAGTGACATGTTATGGCTAATCGCTATTGCTTGTGTGTATCATGAATTTAAGATGAGCCCAACTAAGTTTCAATTTTGTCTGATGTTATCTTTTTTTCATGCTTAGCTGTCTAAATTAGGCTTAACCTCAACCTATTTGGCTAAAAATGTGGAAGCAAATGAAAATGAAAGGAAAATCATATAAACAAGATTTGAATTGTTAATTATGTTTTATGAACAATAGTTAAAACTAACTAATAAATCAAATACAGCAATCAATGTATTCAATTTATTTATGGCTAAAATTCGGTGTGGGCTGTTTTCTTTGGGTGGTTTTCTTCTATAGTTAAGTTATTTTTTAAAGATACTAAGATTACCAATAATATAATATATCAAATATATTCAAAGAGAGAAATGAAGTAAAATAATAGGCATAACATGGGAGAGTCACTCTTCGCCTATATTAGAAATGCAGCACAAATGACTTTGCTTGACCACATTCTTACAGGTATATTACGATAAAACAGCAGCATGCTGTATAATGTAGTGATTGGTGAGAACCAGACTTCTTCACTTGTAGTTGGTGTTTCATCTCAATCCTCATGAATGACAGCACATTTGATTCTTAATCAAAAATAAAAATATAGGTACCACATCATCCACATACCATCAGGTGAACTATGTGCTCGTTTGTTACTATTTAACCTCTAACCAAACAAAGTGGGTTTCCACCAAAGAGGAGAGGAGATACATAGTAATGAAAATATATAGAGGACAGTAGCAAGCTTCACTTACACTTAATAGTTATCTATACAAATAAATAAAATTCAAGTGTCTGTTTGTAATATCAAAATAACAGCTTTTTAATAATGAATCTAATGAATCTGAAAGAAGATAATGAATCTGAAAGAAGCGAAAGAGGTTTGTAAGGATCGTGACACTTGGCGATCTGTTCTCTCTGGCTACCCCGTTAGGGATTGTGCGTGAAGATAAGTAAGTAAGTAAGCTTTTTACTAATTGCATATAAAAGTATATACGGTACCTATAACAGAAACAATTTTTTTTAATTTTTGTCTGTCTGTATGTCTGTTTGTTCCGGCTAATCTCCGAAACGGCGGGACCGATTTTGACGGGACTTTCACTGGTAGATAGCTCATGTTATAAGGAGTAACTTAGGCTTTTTATATTTTTGAAAAATAATTCAGGTTCCGCGCAGCAAAATTAAAACCCTAAATTACACGCGAGCGAAGTCGCGAGGAACAGCTAGTTGGAAATAAAATTAGAATTTTAATAACCTGACTATGTACTTTCAATACTGTTAGTAGTCGCTCACTGTTATCACATTTGTTTGATACTGTCATGAATCCTTTTTCTCAATCAGTTGTAAATTTTCTTAAGGTATTTTAATTACTTTGCGCTATGTTGGTTATTGAAAGTCTATTGCAGATATGGGTGATGATAGGTTGAACCAAGTACACAAACTTTCTTAGATTTCATAGACTTATAAAATTAAACACTGATGATTAATTTAAAATTTTATGTACATTAAAAATATATGTAATAATGTTTAACGTTATGTAACAAATTTTGAGAGAGCACTTTTAATAGTTATGACACAGTAACTGGATTTAGATTTATTAAATCATTGCTTGATTCAGCTAAATCCGTAATGGAAACTCTTCCTCTTTGTTTTATGAACTTGGCAACATCTTCTAATTCCTTCTGTGAAATATAAATAAATTTTCCTCTATCATCTATCACCCCCGTTAGCTCTCCAGAAGCCTGTAGGTCAGTTATTCTGTCAATGGCCACTTGCGTCTTCAATTTGAAATGTGCTGCTAAATCTTCAAGTAAAACTACCTTCTGTGCCTGTAAATATAGATAATTTTATGAAATAGTTACCTCGTATAGGGATTGATTTCACTGCTTCTGGTGATACTGGGAATTCTAATATATTAATTATAATATATTATATAATAATGTATATCATATATTCTAATAATGTATCATAGCTTGACGGCTCCGTGGCGCAGTGGCTTAGCAATGAGTTGTTGCGCTGGGGGCCGCGGGTTCAAATCCCGCACGGAGCAAGTATTTGTATGGCCTACAAATAATTGTTCCGGGTCTGGATGTTTGTCCTCATGCAATTTATCTTTGTAAACTGCCTCCACGATATAGGTGAAAATCCTAGTGTGGGGGTAACGTTTTTTAAAAACAGAAAAAAGAAAAAAAACCTTTTTCTTATCAATAATTTATTTAGTATAATTAACTTACCACGAGGTGTAAGGTTGTGCACGGTAATTTCTACAATGACTGAACTTTTTTGGATCTGGTTTTCAGTTATATAGAGAGATAGGTTTGTGGTAACGTATAGTTTATATATAATTTAATAAATAAAAAAGAGCCCGTCTTGCACGAAAGAAATCATTGCTTGGTTGCTATATCCAAATTGTTTCAGCAATTGCAAAGAATAGCGTACACAAACAGACAAAATGTCTGTTAAGGGTTTTATTTTATATTCATGCTAAAGAAAGTAAATCGCACAGCTGAATACAGTCTCGTTTCTAAGATGAATAAGAAGTTTATAACAACAAAGATCCATTAGTAAACTAATAAGAAGGATCCACAGATGATATTACATGTATGAAATCATGGACATAGTACCTTAATATAATCTATGAAGTCCTTTAATAAATTCTCTTTGTCCTGTTCTTCATTCTCCTCATAGCCCTCGCCCTCTACAGTGAAAGCAGCCTTCATCGCCTCATATTCCTCTTGCTCACGTTTCTTACGCTCCTCTTCAGTTTTTCGTTCAGCTTCCTCTGCTTTACGTTCTTCTTCCTATTAGCATGTAGGGTTATTTATTTTAATCATTTATAAATAAAACCTATCAAAACTCCACTGCTGAACATAGACGTCCCCTGCCGATACCTCATGGAAGAATATTTGCCGATACCTCATGGAAGAATATTTGCCACACTAGGTAGGCAGGTTGACAGTGCATTTTTTAAATTATTTTGAGCTGTCATCTGCCCTTATCCTGTTTCAGTTTCCCTTTGTCACCTTTTACGACACGCACGGGATGATATGGGGATTCATTTACGTTGCCACTACACGGCGCCTTTATAGTTGTGGTGAATATGTTATGAAAAATATTTTAAAAGTCATAGTGTATTTAAATTCTTACTTCTTTCTTTTCCTCTTGTTTTCTTCTTTCTTCCTCAAGCTCCTCATTTTTCTTTCGTTTTATTTCACGCATATGCTCCTCTGCTTCTCTTGCCTTCTTCTTCTCTAACTTAGCTTCCAACTTCGCACGTTTCTGTAAAAGTTTCAATAACATTATTTTATCAGGTTTTATGTTGTGGCCTTCGGAATATTGTGAAATAACTGTTTTAAATACTGCAGACTTAAAATATTCAGGTTGCCAGAGCCACAACTTGTTACTACAATTGCTATTCCATTGAATAAGAGACATAACTACAATTAAACCAACTTGGAGCATTTTACAATGTAAAACTGCCTATTCAACAAATCAGTTGTCATTAGTGAGTCAAACTATTTTTATTAATCCCCGATGCAAAAAGAGGGGTATTATAAGTTTGACCGCTATGTGTGTGTGATGTCTGGGGCACTGTAGCTCTTAAATGGGTGAACCGATTTAGGTGCACATTTTTTTTATTTAAAAGCAGGTTTTCTAGCGGTGGTTCTTAGACATATTATGTCAAAATCAGTTCAGCCGTTTCAAGGTCATCAGCTGTTTTGTTAGCTGTGGTAAGGTTCTATTCGGGAGTGTTTTTAGAGGCTATGAAAATATTATGTTAAGTTATATGACATAAAATATTTCCAAATAATCTTATTCAATATAAAAATTTATGATAAACTTACTTTAGCCCCCATTTTATCATCAAACTCAATTTTTTGAGCTTCGGGAATACCTTCTTCCTCAATGTCTTCTGCTGCACCAGGTTCCTCTTCAATCAATGCTGCTTGATGACGAGCAGCTAAAAGTAGGCCAATTGCATTAATAATATTATAATATTTTAAACAATGTTGCATAATTTTTATACATAATTTCTATTACGAGCGCCATGTATAATTGTCATAAAACTATCCACAATTTTTAAGGTGAGGCTGTTTTCAAACAAACAAAAAGTCCACCTAACGACTTTGTTATTTTCCATGCCTTTAAAAATTATGAAATTATCACTAGAAATAATATCAATAAAATAACTGAAGTTTAAAAAGAAAAAATCCATGTGCTATATTTTTGAAATGCATATATATTAAGCACATATTTTCAAACATGTGACACAAAGCCAACCATTATAAAGTGCCAAAAAATTTTATTTAATGTTTCCTTTGATTTTTTGAAGGCCTTTGGCAGGGTTTTGCACATTTACTAGGTGAAGGACTTTCTGAGTGTATGATCTCTAGAAGTCTACATGTCCAATTCTATACATACACAAACGCTGAGGGTCGCCTTCAGGGGTTCGTCCTCTCCACAACTCTCTTCCTGTTGCATATTAATGATCTGCTGATGATATCTATGGGTAGGCAGACTACAGCAAAGGTGTGGAGAGGTTATCAGCTGAATGCTCAGGCCAGTCAGTATTAAATCCAGTCCAAGAGAGTTATGGTTGAGCATGCAAATCCCGTACTGTCAGTCTCCAATGAGGTTGTGCCAATTTTCTGAGATTCAACACCTCCAAAACGCAAAATTGGTTTTTCACCATAAAAGGAACCGGCTCACATTTCCGCAATGTATCGTAATGGAGTACAGTTGTTAGGAGTTGATATTTCTTCAAACCTCAACTATAGGCGGTTTGTTGAGGCCAGTGCCAAAGTCACCACAAAAAAATTAGGTGTTCTTCTTCTCTTCACTACCTCATATAAAGCGCAAGTCCCATCGTACATAGGGTACTGCTGTCACATATGGTCGGGTGCTGCAAAATACTACCTAGCAGTATTGGACTCAGTGGAGAGACGTGCTAAGCGGCTTATTGGTAACCATGACTTAGTTGAAACCAATCTTGTCAGCCTTGAGCACAGGCGCAGAGTAGCCAGTCTCTCAGTATTCTATAGGATGCATTTCGGAGAGTGCACACAGTAATTACATGCTTTGATTTCTCCCTCCCTTTTCCATCATTTGACAACCAGGTAGACATCAGTCTATTCCTTTTATGTTTGTTTTCAAACATTCAAACCAAATGGTTTGCTTTATTTTTTGTAACGCATACAGCAAAGGAGTGGAATAATGTGTCGGCAACTGTCTTCGATGGATTCAGGTGGCTCAGGGACTGTGCTTTGTGGCATTCCTTGGGGGAGGCCTATGTTCAGCAGTGGACTTGTGAAGGGCTGTAATGATGATGATGAGCTATCTTTCTGTTCGAACTCCAAATACAATCCGGGCAAGAGTGAATAGGATTTTGTTACGCTAAGTCAGTGCGATTTACTATTTAGGGCTTCATCTCCACTTATAACTGGTTTTATACTGGTATTAAGGTGCGATGGGTGGAAGTGAAGCATTCGTATAATAATAAGTAAAAAAAATTGTATAATATTTTTTAATATACAATACATTCAGATAATTTTGTGATACTACATCAAAATATTTCTCTACTATTACTAAGCTCTCCAAAGCCTCCGAAATTGCAGGATAATTATCAAAATGATTTGTGCATGTGCAGTGAAGAGATCTTAAAGCCCATCCATTGTACTTTACTAGATTTTGATTTGAAAATACATGACAAACTTAACTTTGCATGCTTAACATAAATTTAAGTTCAAATACCAATGAAAGAAGATAATATTACTTTATATTGTGAAATCATGAAAATAACTTACCATTTGCTCTCATCCGAGCTCTCTGATTTCTAACAGCTTGCACTCGACCAGGACCTCCATCACGTTGAGCTACCGCTCTAGGTTTAGCTCCAGCTGTTTACATAAAAACGAGTGTTAAAACATATTAATTTATCTTAACCTAATATACATATAATTATTTAATGTGTAGTCTCAATGTGGTATCTATTTTTATCTATTATATTATATATCTATTTCTGGTGTCTAATAACAGCGCCTGAACTGCTGTGTTCCAGTCCAGAGATATTCCTCAGAGGTGAGAACGCATCTATAGCTTTTGTTAGAAGTTGTCCATGGATTGCAATAGCCACTTACCATCAGGTAGACTGCAAACTCGTTTGATCTTCAGTTTTATTTAAAAAAAACTAATGTGTATTTGTACTTACGTTGAGATTTAATCCGCGTTACACGCAAAAATGCAACCGATAAAATAATTATAACTACAGCACTTAAAACAGCAGCAATTATAAAAGGATCCATGTCATATATTTTGTATCAAGTGCCTACACAATTAAAATTGATGTAGATAAACAATATTAGCCAATGAAAATATAAACTAAATATGTCTGTTTTTGCAAATTTAAAAAAAATACATAAACATTTCCAATCATCTATATTTGATATTGACAAACGTCAACCAAATTATTTATACAAAAACAACGTCAACGCAACGTCAACGTCATCAAATCAATTCATATGTTGCGTTTTTAAGGCATAATCAAAGGCCTAAAGATTGTGAAGCCATTTCAAAAACATTCTGAATAATTTGATGAAAATAAAATATGTTTTAGTAATTAAGTAACTCTTATTTTTCATATGTAGGATACAATTAATATGTGATATGATGATACAAATAATGGTTTTGAATTGGGAAAAAAATATACATATAACATATAATAATAGGGATAACAGAACGTAGTATTAGAGTTAGAGAAGATTTTTCAATCTTTCGAAAAAAGTTACTCGTCTTATAAATCGGAATTAACTGGTATGATAACGAAACAAACTAACAAATTTTTTGAATTGAAAACTTCGTTAGCATCGTTGTGATTTGAAACAAATGAAACGAAAAAGCCACACTAAAAAGAGATAAATATATAAATCTATAGGAGAGATTGAGATAGAATCTATAATTACTAATATAATAAAGCAAAAGAGCGTTTTTGTTTGTTTAAACACGCTAATTGGACTGATGATTGTATATTTTTTGTATACGATAATCAGATTCGTGAGGAATATTATAGGCTATCTAGAATTAGGCTACACCTCTCAGCCAGTCTTAAATATTGATTTTTGTTAAGCAAGTCGGAAAAAAGTGCTCTCGAACTGCTTTATCCGCGTGCGCTGGCGTAATAGTTGGTAATACGTAAATACTATGTTCTACAAAAATATAGATCATTCCTCCATCTAAATAAATCCCCGATATCATAGTACTATTTCTTATACATAAGCCACAATAAAGTATTTTATGACAAAAAATATTGAAAAGGAAAAAGTGATTTATGAGCGTTATTATTAGTGTTACGGCCTACGGCTGCTCCTCCAAAAGTTCAAATCCTCTGGGGCCCATTCAGCAGAGTTTCAACGAACAGACGTAGGTCGGGCCTCAATATGGCCGCGTGGAATTTCTCTAATTACAATAAACAATAAGGGGGAGCGTTCTATACTACTGCCATTCAACAGGGAGAATATTAAACGGAGCTTACTTACCTATATCGAAGGCGACTGGTTCCTCAGGATTCGGTCAGGTCGCATGTGGTTGTGTGGTGCAAGGGAAATAAGGTGCTGTGATGTGTATCTGGGTGTTACTGGTGGTGATTGACCTTATCAGACCTTTGCCCTCGGCAGCAGCCCGGACGTCAGCACCGCTCCAAATTGAGGTAATCTTCCGCGGCGCCGTCCACAATCACTTTCTTCGTTCGTCACGATGACAGTCCATTAACTCTATCGTACGATTAACTAACTTACAGAAGCCACTAACTCTCGTTTGTTATAAAGCTTAACACACAAAACGAACACAGAGTGTCCGGATCAAAGGTCACTACCGTTACGCGTGGCAACAGTTATTTCTAGAATATCAAAGGCCGCACTAGCTAATATTGTCGAATGCACTTATACAGATTCTGAGTCGGACCCAATAAGTCCCGGGAAAGGCTATCCAACAAGGAATGCGCGTTACAAATCCTAGACAGTATATTTACTAGACGCCTAAAATATTCCGCGTTTCCCGAACAAAAATTGACAGCGTGCTGACGTTAGCACAGCTGGCAGATGACTCTTATTTTACGCCGCGCGTTCTACGCACGACCGAACGTCAAACCGGTATCACCGAGCCGCGCGCCCTCTGACGTCAATCCCGAAGTCAGCGTTCGGGCGTAAACAATTAGGCATAGCTTATTAATCCTTACGAACGAAAGTTACTTCATAATGAAGACAATTTATGAAGATAAACTTTGCTCTTTATAGCATATTACTTGGAAGCATAGTTTAAGAGATAATGAAAAATTTATATAATTAGACACTCGGCTCGGCGTGCGAAAGACGCCTAGCGACGCAATGAGAACCGAAGGAGGATAAGCCCGTGTCATGTCTTGCGGCTCAGAGCGTATACGCGGGTGGTACCGCGGGGAACGGCTAGTTCAGTATAAAGAGTTTTATATTACCTTATTCCTCTGTGTGCGGTGCTTCAAAAATGGCTAATGTAACTTTTAAATGTTAAAATAAAGAATTAAAAGTTACAAATTTATTATCAAACAAAAAAAGTCATTAAATTGAGTAAAATTATTACATAAAACATTCTTAACAATCCAGGATTTCTTAAATTACCGATTAATATTAAATTAGTCTATTTTTTGGACCACCTTGACCTTGTGAGTCAATAAATTTTTGTGCCCTTGTTCAATAAAATGATTTTACATATAGAATTTATAGTTATAGTTCTTTTTTACTTATTATAAGCCAGTGCTTGACCAAGCTGCCCCGGCGTGAAGTACCGCCACACCCTTGTAAGAACACCATGCTTCCTTGCGGTTGCTTTGGCTTTGGACTCAATGAACCGCCTATAGTTGAAGTTTGGAGGAAATTCAATCCCTTACAACTGAAGGCGGTCAGTATACTCCAAGGAAAGTAAGAGCCTGGGTGAGCGGGCTCCTTTTAGCGGTGAAAAGACAGACTTAATATGTTTTGGACCTGTAGTGTGATTCACACGCTCAACTATAGCTTCTCTTTCGATATGGATTCGATACCGACTGGGCCGAGCACTTGGTTGGTATCTCTCCACAACTGTACTATCGTCTGCATACCCATAGATACCAGGCATAAGCCGATCATTAATATGCAGCAGGAAGAGAGTTGCGGAGAGAAAGGACCCCTGAGGAACACCGGCGTTTGTCACCACAGGATCCGGAGAGACCGTTCACTCAGAAAGTCTTTTACCTATTCAATCAGACCAGGGGATAAGCCGTACGCTGGAAGCTTACCCAAAAGGCTAGCGTGCCAAACTCTGTCAAAGGCCTTCGGGGCATCAAGGGAAACAGCAAGTTCTTACCCACTGTTCTCGAGTGCCTCGCTCCATACGTGTGTGGCAAATGCTAGAAGGCGCCCAGCTGAACGATTTCAGCGAAACATGTATTGCCGGTCACGAAGGAGGTCATTCTGTTTTAGGTATGCCATTAAGCGGGCGTTCAATATACGCTCCATAATCTTGCAGAGTATAGAGGTAATTAAAATTGACCGATAAATGACAGGGTTGGCACGGCTACCTTTTTTAGTCACAGGCTGCACATTGGCCAGCTTCCAAGATTTTGGCACTATTCCAGTTCTGAATGAGAAGCGGAACAAGCGCACAACATAGGAGACAACTCAGGTGCACATACCTTTAGAACTATAGCTGGTATTCCATCAGGTCCACTAGCTTTGTTCACGTCTAGACTTCGTAAGGTTTTAAGAACCTCCATGTTGGTGATACGGACCTCTAATATAGAGGTACCGCAGTAAGATAATTGAGATGTTACACTGTTGCTACTGTCCAGATGCGAATTGCAAGCAAAAAGAGAAGCAAATAAGTCCCCTTTCTTTTTAGGCGCATGTGCCAGTGAGCCATTTGGTTTTACCAGCGGAGGCAGTGTAAACTTACAAAAGTTTGTGTCGACCGCTTTGGCGAGAAACCAAAAAGCTCTACTGCCAGATGATTTGACAAAGAGCTTTGTACCAATGCGTTTAATACGCTCGAAACTGGCTTGCCGTAATGCCTTTTTGCAACACTCTTTTCTCTCAATCGACAAAAATTGATTGGCTTCAGTATATTACAAAGCAATTATAGTCGAAAGAAATTTAGGCTCTACACGTCTAAAAATAAGGATTGTAACATTTATTTGCTTTAAAATTAAACTTTTATATTATATTTTATGCCGCACTTGTGGTTGAAAATTATTAAATTAAATATATCATTTGTTTGAGATGTTTTTGTTTTATATTTAATTTTATTTGATGTTTTTGCTTTTACCGCATGTGAACTGTACACATGTTTGTTTTTATTAAAGTGTTATTTTTATGAATAACATTTGAATATAACAGATATTATTTGTTTGGTTTATTTATTTTCAATCTTATTAATATATAATATACCTAATAGTACAGAAAGAAACATTAACCTTTACATTTTCCGAACACATTAACTTCTCCGCTATGAAATCTGCCTATATTATACCTCACTTTTAAGTGGCGCCATTCTGGTGACAGAAAAAGTTGTGGACGCCCTCATTAGAGTTAACAAAAGGTGATATATGTAGAGATTTAGCGGAAACCGCTAGAAGATTGTTCATGTTTTGTGGTTTAAAAAAGTTTGAAGTGGATTTTTGTAGGTATAAGTAGTGCGATTTTGTGTGCTGAATGTCTGCGCTTAATATAAACTGTTAGTGAAAACGATGTAGCTCGCATTTTAATTGCGATACTAATGTTATTTTGACCGTCCAAGGGGTAAAAGCTATCGTCAAAATCTCCCAAAAACTTTACAACGTCAGATATTATAGTCTGTTTGCTAAGATAGTGTCGGTTCACCCAGAGACGCACTTTTTATCTTATTATTTTTTACTGTTTGTTAAATAAATGTTTTTCTATTCTAAATGTTTTATAAATGTTTTTCATGATTACTGTAGTAAAATATGTATATAAATAATAAAAGCAAGTTAGGTAGCAAAAAAACCTTCCATGGCGACGTACGCGGCGATCTTTGTAGTCGCGGCGGCGCCTCTGACAAGATTTCCACGGCGACTGTATTTAGAGGAACCAAGGAGGTTGTAAAATATAGGGAGTGCGCACTTCATACTAGAGAAACGTTCCTAAATCAGTGACCTTGAATCGAATGAAAGTCACCGAGTTAAGCGTTGCATTTCTTTCTAATAGAGTGTCCATGATACAATATTCTGAGGATATTAATAGTATATACAGCATCACGGAAAACGAAATGCGTATTTTTTTCA